AGACATCGCTGATGCCTGCTTTGCTGTTTACAAACAGAAAATAAAATCATACATGACTTTCTAATTTGCATGAAGTGTTTGATGATTCTTAAAGTGCACATGACACCTTTTAGAAAAACACTTTTATCCGAAAGGTAGCATGCTGACGAGCATTTCTGTAAAGGAAGAAATTGATTTTGAATAGTATACTCTGAGTTATAGACATTTGAAAATTGAAAATGCAAATGAAGTGACGTCAACTAAGGAATTKRTCCAGWCTTTTTACATTGTTTGCGCTATGCTGTTCTTGGTTGAAGAGCTCAAGTCATTAACCATAGTAATAATTGAGAGCTGAAAATGCTTTTTCCAGTGTAACAAAAAGAATAACGTCCTCTTTCATGATTTTGTATATTAAATCATTCCTTAGTAGACGTCACTTAATTTGCATTTTCTAAGTTTCAATTGCCCATAACTTAGAAAATACAATTTAAAATCAATTTGTTTCTTCACAGAAGTACTTAGCAGCATTATCTCTTTTGGATGAGAATGAATTTCTAATGGTGTCATGTGCACTTTAAGGTATCTGGATACAGTTGTCTAGAACACCAACCGGGACGAAATAAACGGGTAAAAAGTAATTTAAGTTGCTCAGATCGTAATAATATTTTACTACATGATTAACAAGGGATTCAAATTCATATTGAGTAAATATTTGGAAAATCGGATTTAATTTATGCGTTTTATGGGGAAATCCAGGAAAACGCTTTTACAGCTATTTCAAACAAAATTAAGCCTATTTTTTCCGCGATATCTCAGGGACATAATATTAGAGGTTTTGCCTAACTATCACCAAAGTTTGGTCGGAATTAATCGAGGAAAGACAACATTACGAGGTCCTTAACTTGGAGCAATAATTTTCAAAGAAAAAGAGCGCATACAAAATCAAAAATTCACATTTTACTTTGTATCAAATATATATTGACCGATTTCTGGAAAAGAACTTACCTATCATATTGCTACGTTCATGCAGAGTTTSGGCAGTGTAGACCAATTCGTTGTGTAGTTAGAGGTATGAAGCAAAAGGTATGTTTTTAGTGCATGTATAGCTCTTTTGAGATAAACAGATTCTGACTGCCTTAACTCGAAATCGAGTCCTAGAATTTGCTTTAAATTTCTTGTCCATAAAGCCAAAACCCCTCTAGTGTTTTCGCATCTCACTAAGTTTGAATTGATTATTTACAACGGACGYAATAATTTTTTTRAAAAKGTACAYYTTGCATCAACGATTTCGCCGTTWMATCGCAATCTATKCAAGGATATTTGTTGACGTACGCTATTGTTTAATTGTACAATTGTGTATATCAACATACTTTATATGCGTAATGACACAATGGCATTTCATCGTGTGTTATGGTATATTGAATGGGATTCCGCTCAATAAAAATGTTAGTAATGATAGAGCTATGGTAAAAACGATGATGTATATGAAACCTTTAATCCCCTTATTGTCCAACAAAACAATAGTGTACGTCAACAAATATCCTTGMATAGATTGCGATKWAACGGCGAAATCGTTGATGCAARRTGTACMTTTTYAAAAAAATTATTRCGTCCGTTGTAAATAATCAATTCAAACTTAGTGAGATGCGAAAACACTAGAGGGGTTTTGGCTTTATGGACAAGAAATTTAAAGCAAATTCTAGGACTCGATTTCGAATTAAGGCTGTCAGAATCTGTTTATCTCAAAAGAGYTAKMMWT